TTTCTCCTAATAATTTTGCCAGTTACTAAAAAAGGAAGTTTTTAAGCGATGCGAGATTTTCAGGAGAGAGTTTTTTTTAAATTAAAGAAATAATATTTATATAAATAAATAAAATAAAATTTTTTTAATAATTTCTAATTTATTAAAACAAATTTTATTTTTACTTGTAATTATATAAATTATATAATTTTTATTGCTTTATTATTAATTAAAAATAGTTATAATATATTTAAAATATAAAAATTATTGCTTTTTAAATAATTTTAAATAAATTTGTAATTATATAAATTTATTGATTAAATAATTAATAATAATATTAAATTTATTATTATATAAAATAAAATATATAAGAATTATATATATAATTTATATTTTTTATTACATATTAATGAATTAATTCAAATTTTAAATTAATTATGCAAAAAAATAAAATATTTTTAAAAAAAAATTAGTTAATAAAATTGGTATACTTATCTAATTTTATTTTATTTTCGTTATTGTTTATTTTTATATTACTTGTCAAACTTATCAAATCTATTATATTTTATTATAATATAAATTTATAAATTGTTTTTTTATCAACAATACAAATGTGTTAAATGCAATACAAATATTTATATCTTAATATATTGTATAATTTAATCTAAAATAAAATTTAATTAATATTTTAACTATTATCCCAGTTATATAATATAATGTTTATAAGCTTTAAATCTAATTTTATTATATAAAAAGTATTTAAAAAATACAATATTTTAATAGTTAAAAAAATAATATATAGTTTTATCGGATATCTAACATGAGTATATAGTGATCAAATGTTTTAAGCTAATGATATAAACATTATTGAAAAAACAGTAACAGTATTTAAAAATAATAAAATTATTTGATTATATAAACTTATTGTATAAATAAATAAATTTTAAGAATATTATTATTAATGTATCAATATATGGGTAATTATTTTTGAAGGCGGACCGGAAATTTTCTGGCGTGATCCTAAAATTTATATCATATATGTACTGTTTAATGTTGGATCCGAAAAAATCATATCTAGCATTTTTGTCGCCTTCAAAAATAATTACCCATATAATTATATTATGAGCAAAAAATATAGAATTTATTTTGTAACATAAAAAAAAAGAAAAAAAAATTTTCAATATAAGTAAACTATAATTATTAATAATGGTGATGTTTTCTTTTTTTTATTTAACTAATGAAAATATGAATTGATTGGTAAAAAAATATAACAAAAGATCTAACCTTAATGGAATTCGACTTTATTTTGTTTAACAATTAACCTTTTCTTATGAATCAATTATAAAATCTTATATAATGTATGAGTCTAAAAAAATCAAATGTTTCGGAAAAGAATTAGTAAAGTGTTTTTCAATCTTTTTTTTTTTAGGCAGAGACGATTATGTAGGTAGAGTTGTTCATATTTTCTTACAAAAAATACAAGCAGTATTTTATTATCAAGTCTTAGAAAAGCTTAATTAAATATGCATATACTGTATTTTTAATGATCTGATAGTGAGAAATTATTTCATCTTGTTTTTGCAAGTTGAACTCATTATTCAAAACTGAAGTATTAATACATGTTGCAGCAGATTGCTATAATTAAAATTTTAATAAATCCGCATTAATATTCTCACTAACGGCATTATGGGACTGTAAAGTCATGCAGGCGATTTGCTGCGCCTTATCTACAATTTTGTCTATCTTTGTTTCGTCGTATAACGCTAGTCCCGAAATCAGGGTACCGATAAAACTATTTTTAAATTGAGATTTTTTTTTAGTTATTTGCAAGTATCAGAATGAATAAAATTAAAGTTGAATATTGTTAGATGCAAAAAAAAAGACGAGACAAGCATTGACAAACCTATCTCCCGCACCGGTGACATTAACAATGTGCTCCGACATGAGTGGAAATGGTTTAAAATATTTGTATCTTATTGATTCATTATATTTAAAAATAAAATAAAGTGAGTGAACTATCGCAAATTAAATTGACAGAGGTGAACAATATTACTGCATTTGATTACCGGATTCCACCTTTTCCTTTTCTTCTCACAATGATTTCTACCCGATCTGCTTTGCTAGTTGTGTGTTCTTCGTTAGATAAACCACCGATGTCTTCTAGGTTTTGTACTAGCAATACCCCATCTTTATCGAGTTTAATTATGATTATTGGTATGTATGGTAAAAGTTGGGTGGCAATGGAAAATATCCCAAGGTCATTAAGTTCTTGCAATTTTTCATGCTTTCTACAAAGCCTTTCCAAGTCTTTTTTTTTTTTAAAAAAAAAATAACAACGATAATGATAATAATAGATTAACAATTGGACAATAGTTAAGTACGATCTTCCGAGAAAAAGTGTCTCACCCTGTCTATATTTCAATCCGATATTAAATTCATCAAGCTTATTAAACCAATCAATGCTATCAAAAAAACCGTTTATTTTTGCGATATTAAACATTGATTCAAGCTCAAGTCTGTTTGGCGAGATATATCTGAGAGTCTGTGTTGTCAAAAGATTTGAAAACAATTTCTTATCTTTGAATATCTTTACAGATTTTGGCACGGAGGTTGGTTCAAAAAATGCTTACATAAATAAAATGTAAACTCAGTTTTTCACAGGTAGCAGAAAGTGACAATGCATATTATTTACAATAAAATACCTGGTATTTTCTTTGAGGAACAAAAGTTTAACACCGATCTAATGCAGTCTTCAGAGATATTTCCATCGAAACAGACCAACTTGGGCGTGATATTTTTCACCAGCTCATGCTTAAACAATTATATACATATTTGTATGCATTTGTATTTTTTAGAAAATAAATCATTAATAAAATAACAATACCTCGTCAAAAGACATATGATCGAAAATCTTCATGTCAGCAACTGCACAGAGAAGGCTTCCGTCGGGTTTGTTTATAGCGTTATACACAGCTGTAGGCTGGTTTTTAACAATTCGTAAATTACTCGAATCCTAATTTTTCCGAAAACGAAAAGACATGAAGTAAATAAATAAGTAAATAACAAAATAAATCTAACACGAATAAAAAATTCCAATACCATTCCAATCATTTCGAGTTGTGCAATAAACCATTTACCAAACTCGTCATTGCCAATTACTGATGCGAACAACGGGTTTAAACCCAACCTGAAAACTGTTTCGGCAATATTTCTTCCAACTCCCCCAATAGATTTATTAACATCACCAGGAAATGAGGTCTCAAGAAAGTCCTTGGTATCATAAGAATGTTTTAAAGGATATTCAGGAGGACGCAAAGTAGATGTGATGTCTACGACTGCCCCGCCAACGATCAATACCTATCGTAAAGTGTGATGAATATTTATTCATGGATGTTTGTTTTGATTCATACTTACGGGTGACGATTCTATTCTCTCCTATAAATTGATAAAAATGAATACTGAATCACCGTATGTTTTCTTCATAGACTAAAGCAATTATATTCAATGGCATATCTACCTTTGATTTAACACCATTAGGATCTGGTTTTAAAAAACTCACAGGCTTCTAAAATTTTGGCACGAGATTTAACACGATCTGTAATTCCAACGAACGAACGAGAGATTTACCTGGCTTTTTTCAGTTGACTTGTTCTCCAAATATGACAGCCTCTCTGCTATTTGGCTTCCAATCTTGGCGTTGTTCTTTATCAAAGAAATATCTATCGTACATCAAACCATCAAATTTATTGGATATATACTGTATATATATATAGTCGATAATTAGATTTCATACTTGATTTTAGGGAGCCTCCTTGAGTCATTTCGTTAACCTTCTTAAGCAGATAGGGTGTGACTTCTTTGCCCCTGATTCCTTTGTCTCTACAGATGACAAATTTGGCGATTAAGAAGGCATCTACCATGAAAAGCTTCCAGAAGATTATTTACATTGCCCCTTTTAATGATTCCTCTATTGCACTCTGAATCCTTTGTGACTCTGCGGCTTCATTTTCTGGAACAGGGACAGCAATTAAAATTCCACTGTTAAGATCATGCTTGTTACTGGAATCTGTGACAAATACAGATGAGAAAATCAATAAAACAATAATCCCGAATTAATAAAGAAGCAGACTATATAATAATGATTATACTTGCGAATTAGTTTTGCACAATCGAGTGTCGATGACAAATTTGATGGACTCTATAACATAAAGATTGCAAATATCATTAATTAATGATAAAGTGGCGTTCATAATTAAAGAATACCTTGAATCCACTTTTGGAAGTGAAGAAGCCTGGAAAATCCTTGGTTTCACCGAAAGTTACGACCGCGACACCTTGAGTTTCCTTGACAAAATGTCAGAATAAAAAACAAATTGTTAAACAGAAATCGCATGGATTACGTAGGAGAAAGACTTTATACCAAATACTCTAAAGTTTTTTCGATATCCAAAATTGATTTCACTCCAGCACAAACTACCGCCACTGGAGTTCGTCCTAATTCAGTTAAATCGGCGCTTACATCCATCGCTATTTTTTTAAAAGCAGGATTATAAATTATTGTGCACCAAAAGAAACTCGATTTCTACACACAGTGCTTACTATTTTCTCCGTCACGATGAACGCCTCCGATACCGCCAGTAACAAATACTTTAATTCCAGCCATATGAGCAATTAACATGGTGCTTGCAACAGTTGTTGCACCTGTCATACCCTAAAATTCCAAAGTTACTTGAATGTACTTAAGTGTCTGGATCAGGATCAAAGATCAAAATCAAGTGCTGACCTGTGACAACACAAACGCTAGATCTCGCCGGGAAGTTTTTATTGCCTGTGGGCCCATCTTTGCCAGTCTTTCCAGATTGCCAGGTGTCAGCCCTAATTTTTTTTGAAAGTTGTTTATAGCATTATTTTTCTTCGTTCAACATTTCGTAATGTGTGTTATGGCATTGGTATAGATAAATACTTGTCGTTCCGGAAAGACCTAACCTACCTACCAACATTGATTTTTCCGTTCAAGATGGCTATTGTAGCCGGTATGCTTCCGTGTTCCCGTATAATGTTCTCAACAGCGAGAGCGGTTTCAAAATTCTGCGGATATGGCATGCCTGGATGATGAAAATGATGATTTAAATATTACACCCAACAGTGCCATCAAATTACATTATTTAAAGTCAAAAGAGAGTGACCATGACTGATGATCGTGGATTCCAAAGCTACGATGGGTTTCCTTGTTTTCAATGCCTCGGCAACTTCAGGACTAATTTCAAAATCTTTATGCTTTCTTTTGGATGTATTATAATATCGCCACGAAGACTTTTCAAAATGCAAAATGGAGAAGAATTTCATGATTTCCTGTGCATTCATCCCGAGTGAAATTTACAGAATTATATTTACCGTAAAGCCTAAACGGCAAGCCAATATATTATTAAGAAGTCGTGAATTTGGTCTTTTCAAGAAATGCATTTTGCGATAAGCAACAAAAAACGATCAATGTAGTACAGACTCGAAATCCCTTTCTGTAAACCGGGTGTGGCTTTATTTTATTCATTCTATTGACAGTGCGTATACAATAAGATCACATCTCCGTTAACGCCACTGTAAACCCTAAAATTTTGCACGAAAGAAGGCAATAATAAAATTTATTTCATAGTCAGGGATCGCCCTAATATAGATTTTCTTTTCTACGCGGGTGTTTCTCTCTCTTCACTCGTAATGACATTACAACTTTTTCACATAAATTGGATGGACCCTTGTTGAATTGTTCTGAACATATTCAGCTCTTAGGCCATTATGTGCGTGAATTTATTTGATTTTTATATATTTATATAATTCCTAAGTTTTCTGCGCTCAAAGTTATCATTGTTGTACCGATAAATGAATATACCCGATGAAAAATTCTGCAACAAAAAAGGTTTACTGTTCTTTTCGCTCTTCGTGTAATAGATTCTGAAATGTTACTTCTGAGATATTATATTATGCTTTTGTAAAAACATAAAACCCTGCCTAACAAGACAACTTTTTTTGTCGACGTTTAAAATCAATGTTCTTAATTCGGGTAAGATGATCGGTGAGTACAAGAGAATTTCCCCGCCTACCACAAATCGACATATGATGCATAAGGTCTCGAAAATTTTTTCATTCTCACGGATCTCTCTTTCTAATTCGATTCAGAGTTAACGGAGAATTTTACAAGTTTATGCTTGGATTCTTTCCTTTATTTATCGAGTAATTAACGAAAAGAAGATACAATAACCAGATAACAAAGCTCTGTACCCTGAAAAAATTCGTCGGTTATTGCAATGAAACGGCCCTTAGCTGGTAACATGTTGCTGGCGTTAGTTGCATTATTATTGAGTTGTTCGGTTGTGTGTAATGGAAAAGACACTATATTGGGAGTTTCAGAGTCCGGTGGGTTGATGTGATGGTTTTTTTTGAAAGAATGTTATCTTTCCAATTTATGCACGAAAGAAAAAAAAAAAAGAAAAAAACTCGGTGATCTTATTTTCACCTTATTTAACCATTCAATCTAATTGATGTTAAAATTATTAACTCATATTCTTTAAATTTCTTTTAAAGAGCTACATCTCTATGAACGTAAAGGACCAAATTGGACATGCTTAGATGATTCGGCTGTTATACCTTACGAAGCTATAAATGATGACTACTGTGATTGTGCAGATGGATCAGATGAGCCTGGTGTGTGAGATTGATACTCATTCGAAATTCATTTTGCAAATTTCTCGAGATGGTGTTCGTTTTTAATAATTTGTATCTGTGTTGTCGGCGTTCATTTATCAGGTACATCAGCATGCCCAAATGGGCGTTTTAATTGTAAGAATGTGGGGCATGTGTCGGCATACATATCTTCTAGTCGAGTGAACGATGGTGTTTGTGGTAATCTCTCGATTACTTTGCCTTTGTTTCTTAAATATCCTCTAAACGCCAACCTCCGTTATTACATGTAGATCCTGAATGTTGTGATGGATCAGACGAATATGATGGTAAAGTGGAATGCCCAAATATATGCAAAGAAGTCGGGATGGAATATCGTAAAAGTCTTAGAGAATTGACTGCTTTGAGGGCACAAGTTTGTATTTTATTTCTCATTTAAAGAATGATTACGCTTTTTTTTCTCGCTAATATTGTATGTTCAAATTAGGGTGCAAAAAAGAAACACGAATATATTGAATATGGGAAAAAATTAAAGATGGAACGAATAAACAATTTAGAAGATTTAAAGGTTGAGCTTGATGCTGCCAAAATTAAAGTTGAAGAGAGAGAAGGCAAATTCATCTTCAAATCTTGCGTACCTCCAAACAATCGTGGTTATAGTCATCATCAAATATTAATGCTATTGCTTATAATATTATTACAGCTGCACTTAAAAAGATTAAACAACTAGAAAACTCTTCGGATTCTTCGAAGAATAAGGGTAAATTACAAAACCTTCATTGATAATATTTGTTTTTCTGTGCTGATTTTTGCCTCCTCAAATGCAGAGTGCTTCAGAAAAATAAAGAATTACAAAGAGCGGATAAAACGTCTAAAAGATCGTATCGATGCACAACAGGAGGACATAGAGACATTACTAAAGGTTCTTAAAGATATGAAAGACGGTCATAATCCAAATTATCATGATATGGCCGTGAAAACGGCGATTACCGCCTATGACGAATTTCTTGAGGAGTATAACAGGGAATCAAATGAAGATGTGGATTACGTGATGGATGATTACAAGGGAGAAGAAGAAGAAGATATGAATGTTGATAATACATACGAAGTACCGCAAATTCAAGACCCTGGTTAGTATTATGAATTTTCTGTGAGACGTATAAATATTTGTATACATTGTCATCCATTTATTCTATTGCATAAATTACAACAGAGCCTTCATTATGGGATCAATACGTTGAGTTATGGAGGATATTTGCAAACGGGGTCTTGGAATTCTTTGGTATGGAACAATATTCAATAAGTCAGGCTTCAAGTTATCGCTCGTCTGCGCGTGTTGAACCCGGAGCTTCTAGAGGTAAATTTCTTTGGAAACTTAGAAGGGATGTATATTAAAAAGTAGATCTCCTTATTTTTTCTTTAACCTTTATTTAGATATTCAGGCCGCTACTAATGCACGAAATAGTGCCGAGGAAGAGAAAAAAAACCTAGAAAGCAAGATCGAAGATATTAACAATAAGCTATCCAAAGATTATGGGTCACAAGAAGAATTTGCAAAATTGGATGGAGAATGCTTTGAACGTAATACTGGAGAGTGAGTATGGATAATACTTTCCCCGTTATTTTTACCATCGAATTAATCATTATCATTCTATTCTTTTAAAATTTTTAGGTATACATACTCAGTTTGCATGTTTGGGGCAGCGACACAAAAAAGTAACAATGATCACACGTCAACACATTTAGGGTATGTGTTTTTAGCGATATACATATTTGATATAATGTGTTGGTTAATTTGTAATTTATTTTAACCTCGAATTTTTAGCAATTTTGAAAAATGGATTGGCGCAGAATCTAAGGATGACCCAGCTTATTACACAAAACAAATTTATGAGAATGGAATTAGATGTTGGAATGGTCCTGAAAGATCCGTTAAGGTAGTCTATTAATCAACGAATCCTACTTTATTGTATCAAAAATTTCTATTCTAATTATGCTTGTACTTTTCCCTCAGCTGCAACTTGAATGTGGGGTGGAAAACAAAATCATATCAGTTTCAGAACCAGAAAAATGTGAATATTACATAAAAATGATTACACCGGCTGTTTGCCCTGATAATGTTCATATTGAAAATAATGGCGGACACGAAGAATTGTAGTGACTTTTACGTATACGATCATGCAACTTTTAGGGTATTTACATAGGGTATTTACATATGACAACCCTAAAACACAAAATACTAATGCTCAAATAATATAATCGTTATAATTACATGGTTTCTATATTATTCCTGGAATTATAGAATTTTTTTTTTTTTTGTGTAGCATTTCTAGAATGTATCTATATTTGTTTGCGAAATTGAAATGGAAAGTAAAGCACAGATTTGGTATGAGTGAGAATAGTCCAGCAAAAGATCTTCCAAAACTGTTTAACTGGCAACGTGTTTTTAATTCGAATATAATATGCACACGGAGTACTCTAATACGTCCGTATATACTAAACCGATATGGATACAATTCCAATCTGTTTCGATAAAATCCAGCAAGCAAAAATTACTCGTCAAATAAAAATCTTTTATAACATCCGAATGATCCGTGTTCTTCCTTTCCATCGAAAGCCATCTTCTAATACTTTATAGCATCAATCGACATTCATATTTACCCACATTGAAGTATGTGAATAAACGCTAATAAGATTTTTTCTGAAATTAAATAAAATTCTCGATGAAATTTTATGAATATGATAATACCAAGCGATCAATTACAATAAGAGAATAATTTGTCATTTTATGAAGAATGTACAACAGATAAGTAAATGTTTACTGTATCTTATTTACAAACAATTGTCCTTTAACTTTTTATTACATAAAATTAAAAGAAAGAAAGAACAAATAAAAGGCTTACAAATAAGAAATGTATCCAAGATAAGAGAACTAAGAGAGAGGTTAATAAGCAAAGTTTGATCAAGAAAAGAGAGAGTAAATAAGTTAATTGTATATTGTAGTATTGATAACCAATCATTTAAATTTTAAATAAATTTATAATCATACAACAATAAATACACTTATACTGTATATTAACATTAATTAAATTTAATTAATAACTTTTTGATACATTATTTTGATAAAAATTTTTTTTATTTATACTGTATCAAAATTTATACTTGAATTCATATTGAATTTATTTTTATCATTTGATTTTATAATTTGTTTGTCAATCTTTTTGTATAAAACTAAATACATCATTTGATAAATAGGATTTTATTATTATTTTTTTATAATTTTTTTATAATTTATTTTGTAAGATGTTAAGTAATATATTTTTTATTATTTTTATTAATTAAATAAGAGTATGTTATATAATTAATGTTTAGATTTTAAAAATATATTGTTATACATGTTAGCCTATTACTATATAAAAATAGAATGTGATATAATTTTTTGAAATTTTTTTAATTTTATAACTAAATAAAAAAATTATTAAAACTTTATAAAATTTTATTCAATATTATATACATATTTTAAAACTTAAGAATAAAATGATAGAAACTTTATTAAAAAATATTTGTTCTTTTTAAATAATACTGTATATAAAATCTTGATAAGTTATTTTAAATTATTATAAACAAATACAATTTTTAAAAAGACTTATTAAATTATTTATAAAAAAACTAAATCAAAATCTTTTAAAAAATCTTTAAAAAAAATAAGCTTTAATTTTTGTATAAAACTAATAAGTTTTTATAATACAATAAAATTATATATAGTTTTTTTTTAAAAAAGTTAATATTTATCTTATTATTTTATTTTAATAAATATATAAAATACATAACAATAAAGATTATATATATTGTTATTTATTAAACTATAATCCATTTTTAAAATAATTTACTAAACATTATACTAGTTCAAATTAAATTATTCAGTTGCCAAGTTACAATTAATTAAATTCAAATTTATTAATAGAAGTCTATATTAAAGTTAAAAAAAAGTATTTGGCAAAAAATAATTATTTAATAATTAAAACATTTAACAAAAAAATTATTTGGTAATAAAATCATTTGATAAAAAAAAAATTCAGCAAAAAAAATATTTTTAGTTAAAAAATATTTGGCAATAAAATTACAATATTCTATAATAAAAATTATAACATTAAGAATAAATTTTTATTATTTAACTATAAAGTTAACAAAATCAACTAATTATTTATTAATTAATTATTTGATAATTATTTGCTCATTATTTACTAATTCTTTACTCATTATTCACTAAATTTTTTCTTTATTTCTTTATTTGAATCTTTCTGCTCATACTGTAATTGTTTTTTTCTTTTACTGATTTCATCATGGCCCTTATAACTCCTGAAAATTTTATAATACCAAATTTCCTTTACTTTAAGATACTTTTTTATAGTTTTTGTGCTTCTTATACTTCTTATGATTTTTCTTTAATTTTCTCCTTTAATATTGCTCTCAAATTTTGCCTATTTGTATACTTTCTTCAGTTTGATACTTCTATTCCTTTAAATATATAATTAATTTCTTATAATTAGATATCCTTTGTCTTTTATGTTTTTTTATCAATTGTTTATCCTTTTTACTTTGTTTATTTTTTATTCTTTATCCTCTAATTTACAAATCCAACTTGACAAGTTTTCTGGCAAGGTTATATTATAACAATAAAATTTGCTATAGTGTTATTTATAAGTCAGTTGAAATAATTGAATCGACTTTGAATATTTATTCAAATTTTTCAATAAATCTTTTAACTATAAATTAATTAATAATAAATTAATTATTCGATATAAAATCATTTATTAAAAAATATTTTATCAGAATGCCAACTATAGTCATATATGTTTATTCTTTTTTTATTATTGTTTTTTGGATCAGTTTCACTTTTTTCAGTTAAATAAACTCTTGATTTTTTAATTATATTGATTAATTCCTTTTGATATTTTGCAATACTCTTGGATTTTTTGTTAATAAGTAACTATATACTTTTGATTTTTTGTACCTTTTTCTTTATTATTTGATAAAAATTAATACAAGTAATATAATATAAATATTAATTAATTTTATTTTATTTAATTAGCTATTTGCATATAAGTAACAATTATCTGTATTTAATTTTTTTGTTTGTAACTTTCAATGTCTTCCTCTTTAATAATGATGTAAAGTACCTAACCGATTGTTCAGCTGCTTTTGTAATAAATTAAAATATAAAACTATTAATTTTAATAATTCAAGTATTAACTTGCTTAATATTTTTTTATTTATATCATTTAAATAAACTTTATCTATTCTTAGTTAAAATTCTTTAAAAATAGTTTTTACTAGAACTTTTATTTCAGCCCTTGTTTTCTTTCTTTTTTATCTTTATAAACAGTTTTTGAAGATTTAGTCATTTCTATTACTTTGCCCTTTTTGATATCTTTACTCTTTTCTTTGGGCCGAATTTTTCAACTCTTTAATATATTCAGCACATTTTTGGAATCTGAAATTATATATTCAATTTTAGCTTTAGGCATAGGTTCAGATTGATATTTAGATTTGAATTAATATTCAAATTTAAGTTTATATTTAGATTTAGATTAATTTTGAGATTTGGGTTGATTTTGAGGTTTAGATGTCATTTTTGTAGTTTCTACAACTACTATTGACTGTAATGTTGATTTATATGATTTTAGTTATTTGTTTTTCTTTTTTAGATATTCAATATACTTCTTTTGCTAATTTGATTCATTAGAAAATATTCTATTTATATGTTCTATTGTAACTAATTGTATCTTCAAATTGACATTTGCTTTTTTTAATTTATTTATATTTGTATATAACTTTTCATTTTTTAAATAAATTGACAAATTAATAAAAGTAGGTTTTATAATTTAAAAATAATTTAAATTGTATTTTTTTTTATTTTCTTCTGAGTTCAAGTTACAGACTTCAGTTCAGGAGTTAATATTTATACAACTTCAGTCACTAAGCTTTTGGGTAATAAAAGAGATAGCTTTTTTCTAAACAATTTGATTGTTATTACAAAAATTGAATCTTCAATACTGGTGGTTGTTGCATACTTTTCTAATATAATAGATAAAAATAATTTTTGGGATTATAAAGAATGTTCTGAAGGTTGTGAAAGTAACAAATGTTATAGTTTTTCTCTATAAATATTTTTATCAGATGGTTTTTCTTGTTGTTTAAATATTTTGACAAATATTAATTTTGATTAAATTAATAAGGATATTTACAGTATATAAAATTTTATATATTGTTTTGTTATATAATTTGACATTTATTATATTATTATTTGCATTATTTTATATTATTATAATTTTTTATTTAATATTTTTATATTAAAAATTTGACATTTGATATTGTTATATTTAAATTTGTCATACTATATTCATTATTTAGTCTTATTAAATAAAAATTTATTATATTATATTAAAATTTATATATTATATTAAGATTTGTCAACATTTGGCAATTCAGAATTAAATGATAACTTTTGTCACTTTATGTTTAATATTTGTTAATTAAAATGACAAGGAAGTATTTAATCTTAGCTTTACTTAATAAAAGTTAAAAAAAAAACCTAAAAAACAAAAGTTATTTGCAACTGTAATAAATATAATAGATTACTTGTTAATTTATAAACAAAGTTTTTATATAGATATTAAAAAATAAAAATTAAAAACTTGGTAGATCATGAATTTATTATTTGACAAAGAACTAAAAATATTTTGCTAAATCGAATTATGGCTTTAAACAAAAATCAACAAAATTCAATACTAAATAATACTAATATTGACAATAACAAATCTGAATCTAAAGTTGAAAATAACAAATATGACACTAAAATCAAAAATAACAAATCTAAATCTGAAGTTGAAAATAATAAATCTGAATCTGAAATCAATAATAAATTTAACAGCAGTTCTAATAACATGTTTGAAAATTATTCAGCTCTTAATTATAAAGTTCTATCACATTCTAATAAATTTGCTGATAGCCATTTTATATAGATTTTATTATGGATTATGAACTTTAAAATAAGATTTAATTTGCCAGATATTGCAATAAAAGCATTTATAAAATTTATTAAATTAATATTAATTAAAATTAATAGTAGCAAATATGAACTTTTTTATGAATTAT